GAGGACACTCTGGCATGTGTTTCCTTGGCCACCTGGAAACAGCAGGTTCAGGGACAGAAGTGACTAGAGAGGTGTTGGCTCACTCCACTTCTCTGCACTTCACTACAAGTTGTGCGTGGGTTTGGGGTTAGACGGAGGTGAAGGTTTAGGGTTTGAGGTAGAAGAGGGTTGCTGGTCCCTGGATTTATCTAAAGTAGAGATGGGCCCATAGTAGAACCCCAGATCTGAGCAGCCCCAGTCGCTGGGGAGGTTCAGATCTGGATCTGTATATCATAGCTGGCTCATCTCTTCCACGGGCCAGAACCAAACCCTGATCCTTGAGTACATTTGGATCCAGATTTCAGGCCTAGCTCTGCTCCAAACTGGAACATGAATGCTGATGAAAGATGTGTGTGCGCAGCCAGTATGCAGCCTGCCCCGCTCTGTCTCCCAAGGGCGCAAAGCCCCAGGACAGGGGAGACAAGACTTAAAGCCATGCTGGAAGGTGACGATGCGGGGAGTGACTTTAAAGCCACTAACACCCTCCCTGACACCAGGCCCCCGATTCAGCGTTTCCCGTGTTTGATTTACAGCAGACACGTGCAGGAACATGGAGAGTCTGGGGCTCATGAGGGACCGTCCCGTTGACGAGATGAACTCTGCCAATGTCTGCCGCTCAGACGCCGCATCTCGCTAGCGCTCAGACGTGCTGCTGCCTGGGCGGTTTGGTGTGTTCGTTGAGGTCTCTGGATATTGCCCTAGGAGTATGTAGTCACTGGCCTGTAAGGACTGATGCACTGTCCCTGCCAGATGGCCAGCTGCTCTGGCATGCCTGCCCTGCCCCATAGCTGGCTCTGCCTGTGCACTTTGCCAGGTGGCTGAATAAACACATCTGCTTTTTCCTGCAGCTTCTCAAAAATCCTCTAATTCTCGGAGAAGGAGAAATTACTTGGAAGCAGACGAGGCGTATGAGAACCGGTGAGTTTGTCCCACTGTACACACAATGGGATTGTGAAGTGGTGAGGCCGGTTGTGGTTTCAAATCCTGTGTTCCAGCAGCAAAACTCTGGAGCTCAGACATGCTTGGGCACTAGGACCACTCCGTACCAGCCACTTCAAGGGTCACCTAGGGACGGGCTGCGGGGAT